CGAGATAATTTTGGGCTATCTCTAGCATTACTCTCTGACCAGCTGTGCCATTAATCTAGGCGAAGATTATTACTAGAATCAGTTCTGACTCTGAAAGCTTGTGGGGGACTGTAGATAATGTGACACTTTCTGACACCATTTATAAAGGTGTTGCAGTATGTGGGTGGCTGAGGAAAGAGTTGGCTTGTGATCAATTTACTCTTCTGAGGAGTAGGAGTCAGGAGAAAGAAGTGGCAGTGCAAATGCAGAGAAGTATTTTTAAGAGGGAAATATTTCACATACCACGAGGTCAGGAAAATTGGAGTGCTCTGAAGCCTGATGATATCAAAGGCAATTGAATAGGATACCTGGATAACTCCTTCCTATGCTGGACGCTTCATCCTTTACAGCCAAAAGATCTGTTCTGAGATGTGGGATTAACTGAAGGTGATGGTCATTCAGCCCCTTGAAGGGTGGCTCTGATGGCTGATGCAGAGACAAGATTTGCGTGTCCAAATGACAAAGCAGACTAGCAAGACAAGCAGCGTCAAGTCTCTGGGCTGGTGATGTAGCAGTGGATTGGTCCCCGTGGGACTAATATTCTGCAAACAATTTGGAAAGAGAAAGTTTTACTTAAAAGGCTCAGGGGCAGCCCAAGGACATTGCTGTAGTGACTGGAGTGAATCTGAGGGATATTGAGGGATATCCAGCGCTATGCAGGAGAGGGCACTCGTGGTTGTCCCTTACAAAATCTCTGCTGCTGAATTGAGGAGAGAATTGGAGAAATTTTCCTAATTACAGATTCACTCCGTTTCTGCATCCTGACATTTTGGTTCTGCTAGAGTGTAGGAGTTAAAACAGCCTGGGGAAAAAGTAGAAGAGAAGAAGGGAAGCTACTTTTGACTCCCCACACTGCTTGTAAAAATAAGAGACAGAGTTTTGCCATAAAATGAGGTACAAGTTTTCTGTCATTATTTACCTCGGATTAACTATTCCTGGTATGTGGGTGACTTCTTGCTCTGGCCACTCATCAGGATTGTTTGACAGCAGAAATGGATAAAACATTTAATTTGCAGTGAGCCTGGGGCACCGTATAGTAGAAGTTGTTGTGGAAGGTGGACCGAGGAGCCTGTTAGAAGCTTTGACTAGTGACTGTTCCACTGTGGTGGAGAAGAAATCCAGTTAAGTCGCAAATTAGATTTTTCCTAATCCTAGCCACAGAAATTGCTTCAATATGTCTGAATTTTTATGACAATTGCATGTGGGTTATTTTTTTTTCTTCTTCTTTTTTTCCTGGCAAGCAATTCTCTTTCTGAAGAAAATATTCTTACTATTAAGTTTAAAATTAATATTGACCTAATGCTCATTTTTTTCCGATGTCTTAGAACATGCCCATGGGTTGGGAAGTAGAAGGGAAAAGAAGATTTGAGAAGGATGGAATGTTCTGTGATTCTCTTTATTGTGTTATGGCCATTCTGGTCCGTTTGAGTATCAGTGTAAGGCTTGAATGCTGTAGGTAAAAGAGCTTCTTTATGAGCTAATGGGTAAAATCCCCATATTTTTGAAATGTGATAGACTCTAAAATCAGAGAATATATTTTGCTAATGTGTAAACTGAAATAAAACCCATGACATTTTCCCTTTCCTGTTTGACCTCACATCTGAGACAGTCAGGATGAATGATTAGAAATAAAGAGGAAGAGAGAAAAGAGAACATGAATGTCACTCTTCTTGGTGAATGCGCAGTGGCATTGCTCATTTGGAGACAAGTGCTTGGACGTATCTTCTAAGACAGTGCAAAAAGAAAGACTAGCAGCAGAAGGTTTGGTTTCTTTTTTTGATTCCTGCTCTTTCTACACAGGATCCTCTCTAATATGCTGAGGCACCAGTCCCTTCCAGATTCATTTAATCTACGGGCGATGTACTTGAGTGGTGTCTCCTTTGATTCACTGAACTTTTGTTGTTGGAGATTTTTAGGCCTTTCCCTTCTGGGTTTCCTTTCTGGGAAAAAAAGTAAGAAAAGTGTTATCTTTTGAGTGATGGAAGGGTGGGTTAGCAAAGTTTCAAAGGTCCTTTTGATGTATGAATAGTCGCTGTGTGCCCCTGAAAGAGCTAGCCGGGCTCTTGTCTTTTAAGAAAAGCTATTTTAGAAGGTATTTGTCCTAGCTTGGCCATAGCCAATAAGGAGATAGATGAAGCCAGATGGTAGTGAATTGACAGGGAGTATGAGAGATGTGTAGACAGTGAAGAAAGAACAGGTTTTTAGATAGAGAACTTACTGAAGTAATTGTTAGGATCTTAGAATCGCTAGACAAAAAGTTGGTGGGGTTTTAAAAAAATAATATCAGGGATTCACTCTTTATGATTCATTTTTATGATCCCTAAGAACCAAGTAGTACTTGAAACTAAACTAGGTGTGCCTAGTGGGACAAGACCAACCAAAGTTTGCATTATATTCCAAAGTTTGGATTGTATTGTGGTATATGTTTTCAGTTCTGCATTCCCCTACTTGTGCAAGTAGGACAAATGTATCCAAATTTTTAGCATACGCTGGAGAGCCAAAGTTGTAAGGATGTAAGTCTGGGTATATTTTCTGTCTTGTTTAGAATATTATAATCTGAGAGTTCAGCCCATAGGTTCAGGAAAAGAACATATGTTGAAAGAAGGTGAAGGGCCTTGTGACAGCTCTTCTGTGAGGCAACAGCTTAATTCCTTGCCATTTTCGTTAGCACTAAGCTTTTTTTCCTCTCAAGAATAACTTTTTCTATTAAGGACTGTAAAATGAAACTGAATGGCTTTTTAAAATATAAAGAAATTCAAACAGTACTTTTAATACAAAGGAGAATGAACACAGTGTATCATCTTTGTTCTGTTAATAGGAGGTATATTTTCAGTAGTTCATGTATTTCAATTTTTGTGGAAGATAGCCTGAGAGAAGAATGGAAGAGAATTTTTACATACAAAAGGAAGTTGTACAGTCATATGCTTGTGTTAAACAACTGCCCGCGTGAGGTTGTCATTTTTTTCACCTAATCCGTAATGCTTGTTATTTTTGAAGATTGATCCTGTTCTCATTAAATGAATGAAAATTTTTCTTTAGTTTGTTCTTGAAAAATAGTCAGGTTGCAAGGATTAATTTGATACGCTTTCAAATCTGATGAGTCTCTGCATGTTAGGCTGATACTTTTGAAATGGTTCTGCAAGCTCTCCTGGTCTGAACCAAACAGCAGCTCAACAAAAACCAGCTTTTGTTGGGAGTGTAAGTACCGTAGCTCATTCTGGAGAGTTCTTGGTAGCTGACTGCGTAGCCTACGAGGTTTTAGCAGCCCCTTGCTGAACATGTGAAACACAGACCTGGCTCTGCAGAGTTAACAGCCCCAAAATAATACCTTGTTCTCCTGGTTTGAAAAGTTCCTTACTTTTTGGAGATGAATTTTGTCCTCATACCAGTACCTTCCTTCTGTGGATGGGTTAGTGTTTCTGTTGTGGTTAGCAGGAGTTGTGGTATCGACACCTTGCGGATCATAGCAGTGAGACCCTAGGGAGCCGGGGAAAACAGTGCCGAGTGGAAGGCTATTCTCTAGCACAAAAGCAAAATCCCATTTGCTTTTTGAGTATGGTTTCTTTTTTAGCATGTTCATTTTCAGCAGGCGGATTAGAAGACTGACCTTTCTGACACTAGATGCTTAAACAGGTTCTTTGAATGTTTTTTTCATAAGCCTTTTCATTCAGTCCTGGAGAGACTGATGCGTGCATGGTTGCCTGTATTTTGTTTCATTGCAATTTGTGACTGGTTTAGGTTTCAGTCTAGAAGTTATTTGTAAAACATAAAAATGAAACTATCTAATAAGTACCTCCAACTTTAATGCATGAATTTGTAATTTTCTGTGTCAGAAAAGCTTCTGGTCTGTCCTTTGAGTGTTGTACATTTTGCATTCTTGTCCTCAGGATCTTCTTCCTATTTTAATTCCTATGCAGCATGTATTTGTATGTTTTTACAAGAAAAATACCAGAAATTTATGGAAATACTAAGCATTCCAATATAAATAATATTTTAAAATACATTAATTCTTAGTGTATATGTATATATCTTGTCTGATGCAGTCTAGCTTAATTTTAAATTATGCACCTACCATTTCAGTCTTACTGTTTTTTACAGTGTTAATCTCATTTAGGGATGTTATTGTTCTCCCCACCAGTCTTGGAAATGGGGTAGATGACAGGAAAAAATTGAATGGACTACTTAATAAAATTTAAGTAAACCTGCAAACGGTCAGCAGTACAACAAAATGACGAGTGGGTCATTTTTAAATTGTTCTCCTCCTTCTAAAAAGGATCAGTAGGGAGAACAGACCAAACACACGTATGGTAATAGGCCAGTGCTTTTTAAACACATGTGATCTTTGTAAATAAGTCTGCCAATAGTCTGTTGGTATCTTAGTAGTGTGAGTAGTGTGTAACACCATCTGTAGGCATTGGGCAATGCATTTAAGAAAGTCTAGCTGAACCTCAGTAAATATTTTGTAATTGCTTTTGAAATCACTTGTTATCCAGTGTATTGCTGAATAATTGTGACCTAGCTCTCCCAAATTTGTTGCTCGTGTTTTCAAATGTGGTGGTTCTCGGTATGAGCTGATCTTCCTTGTACATCCACGTGACAAAATATTTGAGAATGAAAACCTGAGCACTCTTTAGGTCCATAAGATGATCCTAGTTACTGGAACAGGAATAAAAACCTGTGATTGGTGACTGTTTTGATGTATAGTTTTCTAGTTACTGTGATGGCTAAGGTAGTTGTAGGGTGTGTTTGGAGGACCAGGTCTGCTTAATACCATAATCCAGATTTTGTTTCAAAGTATGTGGTGAAGTCCGTATTTCTGGTTCACTTAAGTGAAAAACATTAAAGTGTAAATAAAACTAATTGTTTGTGAATTGAGATTTTCTACTGAGAATGCTACGTTATCTTCTAGGTTTCATTCTTTTAAAAGCAGATGTTCTTTTTTTTGTTTTGTTTTTTTTTAGGTCAAACATACGGCCAGACTACGCGGATACAAGCTTTCATGAGTTTAAAATGCATACCTTCAGTCGTGTGACATCTTGCAAAGTCTGTCAGATGCTTCTGAGGTAAGATTAAGTTCCTCCACCCAGTGAAATATCTGAGTCAAAGGAGTATGTGGAAACACATGACTGACTGGTTACCTGTCTGAGACAGACAAGTCTTGAAGTCTTATGTAGTATTTCTCATTGTATTAGCAAGTTTTGGTTATTGAGTTTCCAAATATTAGCAGGAGCACTGCTGAAAGCTCCAAACCCCAAGAAGCTCTTCGTTTATAAGAGGGCTGCTTTATTGTGTTTCGTTTATGAGGATTGCTTTATTTAATGCAGGAGTTGTATTTTAAGGGTAAATGACAACAGTTTTGTACAATTTTGACTACCATGGCTGCTCCAAGGGGCTTGTTGCTGTAGACCATGAGTTACAAGAACAGATGGAATATATTTCCAGAGAATCAAATGGTGATGATGCTCATAGATGTTTGATATGAGGAGACTGCTTTGCAAGACAGAAAATAACCAAAGCATTAACAGGCATTACTGAACCAGAGATACGTAGACAAATTAATCATAGATGTTGCAAAGCCAGGTAAGAAGAAGAAATGCTAGTAGATCACTAATGCTTTCATGAGCAAGTATTTAAAAGGCCAACTTGGGCTATGATATTCCATGTTTTCTGCCTTTTTCCTGTAAAACAAACACATGCTTGCACATCTGTAGCTTCTCATTAATTTTTTGAGCTATCTTTTAGGAGCTACCTTGATTTTTTTTTTTTTTTTGGTAAGTATGGAATGTCCGATAGTGTAGAGGTATGTATTGAAGCTAAATTTCACCGCGTAAGTTGGAGATGCAAGAGCTTTATAAACTTTGGCCACTTCAGATGCCCATAGCAGATTGCTCCAAGAAGTGTGTGGGTGTCCTCTCCCTGAAAGTGTTCAAGGCCAGGTTGGATGGGCCTTTGAGCGACCTGGACTAGTGGGAAGTGTCCGTGCTCATGGCAAGGGAGTTGGAACTAGATGATCTGTAAGGTCCCTTCCAACCCAAACTGTTCTGTGATTCTGCATTGCATATGGTTGATGGTCCAAAAAATGTAGCCACAGCAGTTTAGAAAAGGCGTTTGAAATATCATAGAATCATAGACTGGCCTAGGTTGGAAGGGACCTTACAGATCATCTAATCCAACCTCCCTGCTGTGGGCAGGGACGCCTCTCAACTAAGTATGGATAAGGCTTTTGTTAAGCACAGGCAAGGAATAAAATAACCTCGAGTATGTTCCTTCCTGTCATCTATCTTCCCTTTAGCAACCTTTTTCCTGAACAGTTAGACTGACCTGGATTTTCAGAGATATTCTCATTTTTGAAGTTTATTTTTTCCTCCTCAATGCAATAGGATCTAAATGACTATGAGGACTAGTGCAGATGTCACGAACTTAGAGACAGCAGAGCTAATTCCTGAATTTGAAGCAGCATATTTGAGTCATTGTGTCTCTGTCACTACCTGCTGTTGCTGAGAAACGGCCGTCTTGCTTTCAGGACACAGCCTGCCCGATGCTGCCTTGTTCTGCACAGACATGCCAGTTTGCTCAAAGATAGCTCAGGGATGCTCGAGGGCTACCTTGTGGTGTAGAGACGTGTCCATGGATACCTAAGCTGTATTGAAAGCCTGCTGGATTTAGCCCCATAAAGTGCCTAAAGCACTTTTTCAAATAAATCGTCATTTTAAGCTTCAAACATAAGCTCACATGTAAATACTTTAAAAAAATTAAAAAATCTGATCCTTAGTGTTAATCTTTAAGTGGATATAAAATCCTAGTCTTAGAAGCATCTGTAGTGAATGATGTTATGTCCTATACTTTTACCTTATTCCTGTGTAGCAATAAGAAAAAAATGAAAATGGAAGATTGCGTTAAAATATTTTTATACTTTCCACTTATTTAAGGTTGTGTATTCCAATACTTAAAAATACTGAGCTTCTGAATTTCATTGAAGTATATTTCATCACTAACAGTCTGGAAATTGCTGTAGTAAAATAGCAGTTGCTGTGCATTTTATTTGGATTTAACTTGTTCAATACTTTGTTGCCTATGAGACACTTGATTTTTTTCCTGTGAAACTGAAGATGTCATGTTAGACTAGGATGTGTAATCACTCCAAACTGCTCAGGGTTATCTTGGAGACAGACACGTCTAGTGTGAAGTGTAAGCACATACATCAGTGGATGGAACTTATGCAGTTGCTTAGAGGTACATGTAAAAAGTTGTTTCACAGTTAGCTATTCAAAGAATTGCACCTAAGAGAAAAGCCACAAGCAAATCTGAAAATCCATCAGTTTCTTCAGACTCAAATTTTGATTCCAGTTCATTAAAGGGATTTGGAGAACATTTAGAGTAAGGAAAGTGGCTCCTTATTTAGTAGCTCTGAATATTAAGTGAAGTGTGCCCAGATATCTGTGTGGGTTTTCTTTTTTTTTTTTTTAAATTAACAAATTCAAAGTCAAGACTATTTGCAATATAACCTGTGAACTTTTTAATGCTTAAATGCATATTCAAACTTGCAACTCTCTTGAAATGGATCATATTCTTCATGGCATCTACACAAATTCCGCTGAGATGAAATGAAGCGTACATCTATAGTAGGATAGTATAATGGTACAAATTGTACCAATAGTACAATTTCGAGTCTACTGTGCCAAAGTTGCTTCAGGCTAAATTGAAATGGAAATTGTTATTCTGCTAGTAGTCCAGAAGAACTATCTAGTTGTGAATTTTGAAAGTATACGAGTGACAAAAGGCAGATGAGCTGCTTGTCAGTTGTCACTTTCTCCAACCTTTAAAGGACTATCATTATGTAGAACTGCAAATGACTTCTAATACCTTCTGCCATTTCTCTTATTTCCTTTATGCATGGAATTTGTCACCTCTAATGTCTCACTACCTAATTTTATTTTACAGGGGAACATTTTATCAAGGCTATCTCTGTTCTAAATGTGGAGCTGGAGCACACAAAGAGTGTTTAGGAAGATTAGACAATTGTGGCAGAGCTAATTCAGGTGGTAAGTAACTTTTATTGTTAAAATACCATTTTTAATTAGGACATAAAACTTGCTAGATGTAATTAAGGTTTAATTTACCTCTAATTTGTGTTTATTGTAACATACATACTTGTGAAACTACCATTTATAAGCACAATTAGAATTGCATTTTGAATTCACGGGGATTTTTATTCCTACTAACTTGAAATGTTTGAAAGCAGGAGAGAACTGTTAAAAGTCAAATCCAATTTCTTTGTCAGTGTCGTACACAACAAGGAATTGCTCTCATTTTAGTCATAGGCTGTTCACATGTAACACCTACTGCATGACGTATCATCTATCATCCTTGTGGTTCTCTCTTTGTGTCAATTTTCATATTTTCCTCTCAGCCTCTAAAGCTGTTTGTTTGTGTTGCCTCAGCTTCCTCTTTCATCTCTTTGGTTTCTCTGGCTTCTGTCCACAATATTCAGAAAAATGTGATTGATGACTCTTTACTTTCCACACCTAGATCTTTTTTTCCCTCCTCTTTTAATTAATTACTGTATTCTGTGAGTTTCTTCCCTGGCCATCATCACTTTGCACTTCCCATATTATTCTTCTGCTCTTTGGAACCTGAAGTTCTCTTTTGACTTCACCTACTACTTGATCTCCCTCAGATTTCGACCAAACTTGACCTCTTTGCTTTCTGTCCAGTATTGTATCTGTAATTCTCTCTGTGATGTCTTCTGAGATTCTTGCCACTGATGCCAAATGTTTCCCTCCTTCCCTGTAGCTCTTCGGTTGGTGGCAGTGATTTTGTTATGCTCAGCCAGCTCGTCAAATAACCATAGTGCCATTTTTCAGGTTCATAACTATTCTTTCTTCTCTCCAGAAGAAAGACAACGGGGGGCAATGGACAAACACCCACCCCCCACCTCTGAATTTCCTTCCTCGTTAATGTTTGAATTCCTATTCTTTGAATGTGTTTGAAAGAGAAAAGCTGTTGGATCACACAACGATTTCTGGAAAGTGTAGTTGTGTATGTCAGGAAAGTGTCTAATTAATTGTCCTTCTTGGTTCTCTAAAACCTGTACATTCTGTTCCAGAATTATTTCATAATAGCTTGTGAATTTTCTCATGTCTTACGTATCTCACATAAGCTGCAACCTCCTCCGCTGGGTTATTTTCTTTTTGTCATTACTATCTACAATCTTTGCAAAATGCTTTTGCAGAGATTATCTCTCTCCCACTGCTTGAATTACACCATGACTTCATCCACTACCCTTCACTGATCTGCTGCAGTTTTCCACAGAACCCACTATGGATATCCTAAAAAAAAATAAATTAAAATTATATTTAATAT